TAGTTTGCTGGTTTAGAGGGGTTTTGGACACTTTAGCTGGTCAGGATAAGTGGTTTGGTCGCAGTGGTCTAGCTGGTCACCATTAGCTGGTCGGGATAGCTGGTTTAGCTGGTAAAAGCTGGTGGTCACAGTGGTCTAGCTGGTCACCATTAGCTAGAATTTAGCTGGAATTACTTAATGGTTAAGCTGGTCATATGATGATGAAACACTCTCACCTAATTGCAGTAGCTCAATGAACATCTATCATTTCAGATCAGAGCACCTACCTTACCAGAAAGGTACCAGAATGTATTGTCTTTAAAATAAATACTCGTACATCAAATAATTAGAAGCAGGAAAATAATTTATAACACACAATGAACATTAACACAAATTTGAAAACATTTTCAAAACACCCATTACTTCATATTTTTAAGCAGTTTCCTTCAACTGTTTCTTTCCGCTTTACACAAGGTCCTGTATTTTTTGTGAAATGTAGTAACCGGCCCTCTCGGTCTTCTCCACGTTTGGTGAATTCAGCCATCCTCTGAAGCACTCTTGAAAAGAGAAAGGAAAAACAGATTAACTTTTAGCTTTGTGTTATGATTATTTAAATATGTGCACTGTGAGATGAAAAAGAAAAATGTATCAAATTTAGTTTTGAACATTCACTGTGATTGGGTCTATTATCCACGCGATACACCGTATTTTTTATTTTTCTTAATTTACATTATTTAATTTCATATTCTGTTCTTGTAAATATCATATTTTATCATATTACATGTATATAAACTTTTTGCACACTTTTTATTTTGTATTTTATTATATATGTTGCATTGTTGGAGGACCTCAGGTCAGAAGAATTTCATTGGCATTTCACGGTTTGATGATTGATAGTTGTGTGGGCTGTCTTTCATTTTGACACAGAAAAATGTTATAATAAACATACATACTGTATGTTAAATGGATATATCCGCCTTCTTTCATTTATCTTTCCATTCCCACAACAATATACATAAAGAAATGGCATATTTTGGACATAGTTCGAATGGTGATTAATCATGATTAATTAATTTTTAAGCTGTGATTAATCTGATTAAAATTTGTAATCATTTGACAGCCCTAATATATATATAGGGTTTATTCAACAGCAGTAAAGCATTAAGTNATTATATCACAGCTAAGGGGGTTGAACCACGCCCCCTAGCTGTGATATAATGAGCATATACCATGGCCTGTCGGGAGCTATTGCTTAATTTTACTACAACTTATATATACTACTTATACGACAACTTATATATACTACTTTTACTTAAGCCATAGCTGAAGACAGGCCGTGGTATAGCTTATAATTGACCTTACCATCACTGCTAAACTGAAGAGCCCGCAAATAATGTACAGTCGGATCTCCAACTTTTTTGCCTGGTCTGATGCTTAAGAAGTGAGAGCCATTCATTTTCAGGAATTCATCATGCTTGACCATCTTCACATGGTAGGGTGAGGGTCTGATTCTTGCAGTCTGGAGTATGATCAAGTTGTCTCTCGGGACGATGATATCCGTTATCATTTTGCGTTCAATGGTACTATGCATGCTGTCACATTCCATCTGTGTGTGACCTGCAACAAGGTACTTCTGTGTTATTAGTACCCCATATTTCATGGCAAGCTCAGAAAAGGAATTCGCCACATTTGCATTGCGGTTCTGATAACCACAACCATCGCTCCACACTACTATCTCCTTGATTTCTGGATTGTCTTTGATCACACCTTCAAAATGGCGATATTAAATGTGTGCGAATACCTCGCTTCTGAGGTCGCCCTCAGACTCTTCCCAAATATAGCAGTACCCTTCCTTTGATTTCAAGTCAAAGAGGGTAAAGTTATGGACCTGCAGCTTCGTTTTGTAATACAGGCAGCTGGCTTGGGTTATTGGACACAGCAGCACGGCTTGCAAGTCCATTGTCCAAACAGACTTCTCATTGTTCGCACAATCCTTATGGCGGGATTTTTCTTGCCTCGCTTCATCTTTCTGGTTTACATGCGCCTCATATTCATCCTTACTGATATTTCCAGGCTTGAATTAAACACAAACATCACACTGATCTTTTCGTGGAATGAAAACTGAATATTTTGTGAAATGTTGTATCCCAACAGCTCTCACTTCAGCAGTTGCAGCTGCCTGTTGATATTCCCGATGTGGTTGGGAGATGGTTGTGCTGGGTGAAGGAACTTCTTGTCTTTGTAGGTCGCTGTGCTTCTGCAGGAGTGTGAATCAACAGTGGGCAGATCCTTCAAGCAGTCCTTAAGGAAATCTGTGACAGCAGTTTCCAGCTTTGCATTTTGCCACTCTTAGGTGGAGATGTAGTCTGCCACTTGTTCGTCATGGTCGATGGTGTCTTTGTTCAGCCAGGGTAATGGTTATTTCAGGGATACCAAGTGCAGAAGAAAAAGAGCTTTGCACACTTTAAAATTCGTTCCATCCTGAAGTTTCAGTTGGTAGGAAAATGATGAACTGCGCCTGGATCCCTCACCAACTTTCTTTTGCTTCATGGCAACCTTTGTGACCAAAGTGGTGACGTATGTTCTTCCCAGTTGTCCATTGACCAAACTTTCTGAAATATCCACTGCCTCTGCTCTTCTGTAATGGATTGACAGTCTCGAGTCGTGACTCACTGACAGAACTTCGAATTGCAGGGAAGGCCCATAGCCTTTGCAGCTATTTCTTTGCCACCTTTGGCCTTGTATGCCATTCCTTTGAGACGTATCTTCCTGGATTCATTTTGCTTCCATGTTTCTGGGCTGAGGTATTTATGTTGTTTCCTTTTGACCGTATTGTTTTCATACACATCCTCTAGATGAGGACCATAATGCTCTGAAGTTGCTGCCAGACTGTATTCATTTTCACAAACAGAGGACTCATCAGAGGATGGATTGTAGTTTGGGTCTATGATAACATCATCATCATCATCATCATCATCGTGTCTTCTTCATGGTGTGGACGGGTCTGCTTGGCATCTTCAGCAACACTCTCTTCTTCAATGAGAGTGTTTAAGTTATTGTCTGCTCCATCTGACACAGGGTCTTGGCCTGGTACATGCTGCTCCATCTCTTTAACAACGGTCTCATTTTCATTGGATGATTCCTGATCGGTGTCTGAAAAGTCAAGTGCATCTCCTACCAAAAAGGAGTAGGTGTACGGTCACAACTGTGTGATCATTATGAAAAACATTTTTGTAATTGCACTGTGGTAGTAATACATTAAAGCTATATTGATGAATATTATTTGGCCAAATTCAATTAAAAAAACATTTAATCTTTCCTAATAAGATGGAAATGTAATGTGGAAAAAGGAGACAATAATACAATATTAGCAATTGAAATGTGCTTTTCATAATTATGCAGTAATTTTAACCGTTACTTCTGAAAGGTTAGATTAGTTTTTAGATTAGTCTTTACTGTCCCAGAGGGGAATGTGTGCATGCTTCATGGAGCTACAGTATCTACATTAGCTGCAGTAACTATAGTACCTACAGTATAGCTTCGGTAGCTACAGTAACCATACATTGTGAAAGTAAAAGACTAAATAACTACACAACATTTATAGCCTAGCCTATAGTATAATATAGTATAACATCACTTACCAACAGGGGATAAGCCCTGAACCATGAAAATAACTTAATTTATCTGTTAGTTTTTCTTTTTCTTGAAGCAGCCATTTTGTAAAGCTTGTAAAATGGCCTAAGTCACAAGACAATGTGACTTAAGCCATTATCTTTTTTAAATATATGGCCTAAGTCACACTCTTGACATAGGCCATTATACTATCAGGGTAGGGACAGCACTAACCTTTCAATAAGGATGTAGGCAATTTTACCAGAGGTGGCCAGCATCAAGAAGAGATGATTTAGGCAAAAAAACATTTTCTCCAAAATATGACTAAGGCCATTAGTTTAAGAAGGTGACGACATGTGACTTATTCAAATTGTGAGTGATTGAGTGACAGATGAAGGTTGTTTAGGAGAAAATGTCTGAGAAGAAAAAGTTTGAGAGTGGCGCTCGGAAAAGGAAATTGTTGAGGGAAAAGGGAGTTTCGAGACAGCAGCTATTACAAAAAATGCCGAAGCTTACAGGTTATTTTAAAACCTGTAGGCCAGGATGAGGAGGAAGGCAGATTAGTTTTCTGTACCGAGCGGAGGCGGTGGCGCCGCGGGGCCTCCGGAGCCAAGGTGGCTGTCCCGGTGCTGATAGGCGATGGAGAGCGCCGGGAGAGGAAAAACCCAGACAGGAAGGACATTATCTTGTTGAGGAGATGGAGAGGCGAACGAGGGACTTGGTACGTGGAGTGGGGAGGCCCCAACGGCATACATGAGGAGGCCGNTCTGCCTTCCTGTCATTAGGAGTTAGACATGTAATGGCCTAGATTAGAACTTAAATGGTAACAAAAACAGTAACACTCCCAGAAGTTTAGGATAATGAAGGTTCTAATCTAGGCCATTACATGTCTAACTCCTAATGACAGGAAGGCAGAAAGCGCATTATACAAATAATAATACTCATAATAATAGCAGACATTTTTTAACAATGACCACAATATCATTATTTTAATAAACCAAATATGAACAATTGAGGAAAATGAGGAAGAACTTATTATTCAAATGTTGTAGAACAAGTAGTAATGTAGTTTGTGCATAACTTACTATTGCGACAAATGTGTTAATTTTCTTCATTATTGGTCAATTTTTTTGGACGAATGCTCTTTGGCCAGTGGAATTTTACCCTTTCATGCACTGGCAAAAACCAATAGAGCTAGTGTACACGGTGCAGCTGTATTATCTGTGAAATAGACGAATCGGATCAGGATTCGGTATTGGCAGACAATCAATATCAAATGAATCGGATCATTATAAGCATCAGCACTTGATCGCTTTTGTCGACTTGCTGAATTAAATACAAAGATAACAGTGTCCCATACAGGCATGGTTTCATGTACAGGAAACTGGAACTTTGAACAGGTGTTTTCATCTCCTCTGCCTGGCGATTCACAAGTTCTTGATCAGGTGTTTGATGTGGGCTGGCATGATCCTTTCTGCAGTGATGAATAAAGAAAACGAAGAAAACATTTGTATTAATAGTAATGATGGTAACAACAATAATATTAGTATAACTATTTATATAGCACTTACACAATTGCAAAGTGATTCTCACAACAAAAATAAAGAACAAAACAATACCAACAATAACAAAACAAATGATTATAGGAATGTTAAGAGACAAAGAAATTATAAACATTCTAAGAGACCGACTACAAAAGGTAGACTCAATGGCTCTTGATGACATCAATGAGCAGTCCCAATAGATACTGTTGTATAAAAAGCATTTCTTCTATTTTGTATTGGATGATTTGTTTTATTGATTGCTGAATGATGTTAAGATTTGTTTTACAATTATAACAAAAAGATTATTGTAATTGGAAAGATTGTGATTAATTAATTTTTAAGCTGTGATTAATCTGATTAAAATTTGTAATCATTTGACAGCCCTAATATATATATAGGGTTTATTCAACAGCAGTAAAGCATTAAGTTGCTAAATTAACGTACACTGAACTGTAAAACAGCTTACCACTATTTAGGAAAGGCTCTGATCAGGAGGGTTGAATAGTAGGACAGCAAAGAGGTGGAAGAGGTCTATGTCATGTACAACCATTGGTAGATGTTACACCTGAAAGAAAGATAAGGAAATAAGAGAAGACAGGAGGACAAACATCTTCTTAAGTAAAAGACCAAATCATGTCAAGCTTTAACCTGAGCCTGTTTTTTCAGTCTTTACAATGCACTGTTGGAAAATACCTTCCAAAGGCTAAATTCAAACTCAATACCATAAATAACTGGGTACCAAAGTGCTTTACCTGATAGAACACGTTTCACACGGAGCAGCAACCATCCGGCTCGGCCTTTTGCTGCATATCATCTCAAATATCTGTTTCCAGTACATCTCTACTGTCCAATAAAACTGAAATTCCCCAAAAAAATCATATTAAAAAAGTTAAAAACAATAAATTGCTTTTGGCATTGAAATGGATTTGACCTTTTTCCTGGATGTCAGGAAGGCCAGGAAGTCGTTCCCTTCAAGTCTGCAACCAGTCATAGGAGTTCAAATGCAAAGCCTGAACGATGACAAGAGCGGGAGACTTACATTTTACAATTATATTTTTAATTAATACCAGAGCAGTGTGTACATAGTACGACATGCAGATAACAGATCAAATCCCTTGACAGACTCACACTTTGGTGATGTCCTCATCTGATAATGTTTCATTTTTTAGCAGCAAAGTAACAATACTCAAAGTATATGTCGGACCCA